GTTATACCGAACACAAAAAAAAACACAATATTACCAATGTCTATTGTACGGGCAATTTCATTTTCTATCGAAATAATTGCCAAAGCTGATAACCCTTTTTCGCCCACAGTATTTCTTAAATAATTTTTGACAAGCTTTAATTTGGAAAAAGATCTTTCAGTCGAGGCCACAGAAACAGGTATGGTGAGAAAAATATGACACGCTGTTAAAACTCGCTGAAACTAGAAGACGATGAAAGGTTTTTAATTAAAATAAATTCAGTGAGTTCAAAAATGCAATTGATTTCGTATAAATTATTTTGGAAATATTGCCTGAAGGAGAGTAATTGAGAAGAAATCGTATAGGCAATATCATCGGGGTATTTAAGGTATAGAACCTGACCCATTTCATATATTATATCCTCATCAGAAACAGAAGGATTCTGCTTGTGTGATTCGCGATAGCATGTGTCGCTATCGAAATGTGTACGCGATAGAAATGTGTCCCGGGCCCCCCGAGGGCCCGGGCCCGTGTGCTTCGCACACACGGCACATCGATAGTTACGCCACTGGTCAAATGTATTATAAAATATTTCATTGGAAGAGAATGCTTTTAAGGTTGTTTTAATATGATTTAATGCTAATTTGTTAATCAATACCGCAATCACGCACCATACATTATAACATTTCTACATATTGTATTGTATAGAAACAGTTAAAACTCGCAAATTTTATTCTTTAGTACTAATGGAATAGAAATAATAGTGGGATAGAGAAAAATAGAAATAATAATGGAAGGAAATAATAAATTTATTAGAGTCGACTAAGACGTAATTATTATATTTATTAGATTATAAACTTTTACAGATTTATTAAAATAAAATATTTCCTGTAATCATTTTATTTTAAAATACTGATGAGAATTTACCTTTATAATGAAAGTCTTGTTAATATATAAGATATGTGGAAGTTTAAAATAAAAAAAAATGAAATATTTAATGCTAAATACCCCATGACCTGTATGGGACTTTTTCTAATATATTTGTTTTAATTTTGAAATGGGTACACATTTTCGGAACTGGGAATTTCGGTACTACACCTTTAAGGAACCTAGATTTCCAGGTTTTCTCGGTATTTTCGTTGCTAACTAGTTTTTGTTCAATGATGGTTGAGTGCGTCAGTCAACAAGCAAGTGATAATAAAAATAACAACAAATTATTAACTAATCAGCCATGAGCAAAATAACATGAACATAAATGAACACAATGGAAGAAATATATATTCACATCAAATCACATAAACAAACTTAACTAAATTTGAAAAAAGACTTTACGTTTTTGAATTAAAAACGCAAATGTCTATAAAAGCATAACATAAAATATGTATAACACATTGTACTAAATAAAAAAATAACATATTTAAACTCAATAATAGCTAATAAATAAATATTATCGGAACTTCATAGAGAAAAAAGTAAGAACAATAAGAAATAGTGTCACTAATTATCTATACTAATATATAAAATCCTTAAGTGACTGACATACTGATTAATCACGATCCTGCTCAAACCACTCAACGTAAGAAACTCAATTTTGGCATACGGGTTGATTCAAGGGTGTAGAGGTTCGATAAGAAGGGATTTTTCGAAATTCCAGTTCCAAGAGGGTGAAACCACCCCTCAAATATTACAATATTTTTTATTTAAAGAACGGTCAAGTTTCCGAAAAAACTCTTTAACACGTATATTTTATTTTGTTGTTTTACATGTTTTAAGATTTTTTATAAATTTATACAGGGTGTTTTATAAAATATGACCACTGAGTAATCACGATTCTGCTTAAACTGCTTGACGTTTAAAGCTGATTTTTGGCAAACGGATTGACTCTGGGGTGTAGAGGTTCGATAAGGAGGGGTTTCTCAAATCTCAAATTTCAAGAGGGTGAAAACGCCCCTCAAATATTACAATATTTGTTATTCAAAAGACGGTTAGTTTTTCGGGAAAACGCTTGGACAAGCATAATTTATTTGTTTTTTTTTGCATATTTTGAAATTTTTTAAAAAATCATACAGGGTGTTCCAAAAAGTTGGGTAATTCTGCTTAAACTGCTTGACGTAAAATGCTTATTTTTGGCAAACGGATTTTTCGAAAGTCAAATTCCAACGAGATGAAACTACCCCTCAAATATTACCAAGTTATATAATAATATCGCCATATTGTTTTTTCTCATGCTGACATAAATGTGAGAAAATATCCAGTTTGTATGTTAATGGCAATTCTTGCTTTGCTTTATCATCACCATTACAAATGATTAATTCGACGCGAACGAAGTCGCTGGTACACGCTAGTATTTTATATATTTTTCGAAGAGATTTTTCCCCTCTGTATAGTAAGATCTGAGAGATCTATTTCTCTCTGCGTTCACATTATCATTACACAGACGAGACCTAATCTTATTGCAAACTAAATGAGCCAAAGATTTTTTCAAGTATGTAGTGTATCCAATTTTCCAGATCGGGAGCCCCGTTTTGAAATCCCGGGATACAAACATATAATTTCGGGACCCCGAGATCCTAAAATTGACTGCGAGAATGAGGGAAGTCTACTTAATGAACAGAAATAGTGCAACTACATACCAAAAAAAAAAATGAAAAAAGGGTTTCATTAAAGAAGATAAAACAAAGTAACATTCATGTTTAGTAAGTAAAAAAAATACAATAAAATTCTTGTTGCAAAATTAATAAAATATAGCAAACACGGAAATATAACTTTTAAGTATTGACATTCTGCTTAGTTTAAGTAAAAAATTATCTTAAAAAGACTAAATTGTATAAATTAGAAACATTTTAGATTGGGCATTTTAATTTTTCCAGATCCCGGGATTTAAAATCGGAATTTGGGGGACAAACATACACCGGGATCCCGGATTAGGAAACCCTAACCGTATGCTTTATTCAAATAACTACCATAACCTCCTCCTTAGTCAAAAATGGCCATTTCAATCTACAGACAATAACAAAACATTATTTTTTAATCAATGTTACCCGTTATTATTACTGAGTCCCGAAAGAACAGGGAATTAATTTCGAGTTCCGGTTCTTTGATGGCTCGAAAAGAAACGGAAATTCCCCGTACCATCCCTGTTCTCTCGAGACCGGAATGTAGACTTTAAACCCTGGAGCTACGAAACAAGGAATCGGACTTTGAACGAATCTATGTTGATATAAAAATAAATCTTATTTTTACGTGGGAAGATGGCACATTTTTTTTGAAACACCTTGTAGAAACTTCTAATGGCAAACTCAGCGTGAGGCACCATAAGTATATTATTTATGAATATGTCATTAGTCATTAGTTTTATATTGTTTTTTTATATTGTTGACATAATGGTGAATGTTCTATATTGTTACTTTTAGATTAAAGCACAAAATATAGAGCTACGCAAAGATTATATTTTCTGATTAAATTATCACTATTACAGTTGGGGTGGAACATTTAGTGTTAACAGTAAAAGAAAACACTAATTCACCACAATACACCAAAACACTTTACTTTTTGTTAAAGTATCACTAAAAAAATCAACGAAATATCAAGTTTATTTTGATAATAATAATTAACGTTAAATACCATAATTTATTTATTTACTCTAAATTTATATTGTTTTTAATTAAACTGGTGTATTTGAATTTTTCCCAATGTAATGGATCATGTTTCCTACAAGTTTATTTGTTTGAACTCCGTTTTTATTTAAATCGAATGATTTGATTTTTCAATGTTTACTAATATCGCAAAATACCTAGCTATGTATTCTGTACATATACAGGGTGCTCCTTAATGATATGCTAATATTAAAAGGGGTGATTCTTGGTCCTATTCTAAGAGAAAAACTTCATATGAATGTATGTCCTAAACATCTTAATTTCTGAGATACAAAGTGGTACAATTTTCAAAAAAAACCTTTTTTTCCACAATAACTTTGATTTTATTACACATATTTTTATGAAACTTAATATACATATGGGTTTTATATTGAACATAGAAAAAAAGTGGGACACTACTGACTTCTCTTAAAATAAAAGTTATCTTCAGAATCTTTATTCACTTCCAAATATTTTTTATCTCTTGATTTTTTTCGTCCGACTCATAGTTTTTGCTTAAAAATTTTTATTTTATTTCAGAGTGTTAAAGCGCTGAAAATCTGACTCGGTGACTGTTATAAGAAAATCATTTCTGCATCGGCTGAAAGGAAATTAAGAAATAAAACATTTTATCTACAACCGTTTAGTTATAACGTTTTTACATCGCTATTTTTTTAGTATTTCAGTTACGTTATGAGATTCATAACACAACTAGTTGCTATAATAATGAAAAGCAACTACGAACATCTAAATATATTAACTTTTCCGGCAATAATAATTCCGTGGCACGTATTGCGGCAAGTTCTACATCTGAAGGGAGACTTTCGGAATCGCTCATCGTAATTTTTAAAATGATTTTTCTGGGCAAAAAGTGCTCGCGTTTACTTGACAGGGCAAACTGACTTTTCAGCATAAATGTGACAAATGTCATAGTTAAAGGTGGGCGACTAATAAACGAAAATTAAAACAGCATTTTCTTATTTTTCGGTTGTAGATAAAACGTTGTACATGACACGTGCGTTTAAACATGATTACAACACTCGTGTGATTATAACGACTCGGTCTACGACCTCTAATCACGTTCACACTCGTTGTTGTAATCATGTTCATAAACACACTTGTACTGAAAATAACTATTATTGCATATCAAAATATGCATTTTAATAACGTGTATCCTATATAACATTAGAGATATTTTGAAAAAAAATAGAAAATTTTACCACCCTGTATCTGAAAAGTTAAGATGTTTAGGACATAATATATTATGCATATGAAGTTTTTTTCTTAGAATAGGTCCAAGAGTCACCTTCTTAAATATTAACATGTAATTAAGAAATACCCTGTATAATCTAGGATTCTATGTTAATATATTTTTTTTTGTTTCAGACGGGTCCTTGTCGAATTCCAACATTCGGATCTCGGATACCTCAGATTTCGTCAAAACCCCAACCGGTACGGCCAACGTCATCTACGGCACCGTCTCCCGAAACCGACATCTCTGCGAAACACATCGGCAGGAAAGTTCACGTCGGCGACAAAGAGGGCATCCTGCGATACGTCGGCAGCGTCCATTTTAGTAAAGGCGTGTGGTGCGGCATCGAACTAACTAACGCGGTCGGTAAGAACGATGGCCTCGTTAACGGCGTGCGGTACTTTGTTTGTTCCAACCTCCGCGGGTTGATGGCGCCAATGACCAAAGTCGCGCTTGTCGAAGGTAGCTGCGAATCTTTGAACGAAGACAACGCGTCAGGACCGTACTCAATCCTTTGTTTGGAGTCGAAAGTGAAAAAAGTGCCCGCGAAAATAAATTCGGATAGGTATGACAATAAAGAAAAAGTCGACAAGGAAAATCAAAGTGTGCGGAAACGAAGTTTTGAAAACGAAAACAAATTTAGAGAAAACGATACGTACTATTTAGGAAACAAAACCAATTCAGTCGATAATTTGAATCACGTTTATCGTTTCGATGAAACTTTTAAGAAAAATTGTACTTTCGATAATGTTAACAGTGCTAAGTCTTCAGACGATCTAAGAAAATTATTTTTTAAAGAAAAAATTGCAAATAGAAATTACTCATACGCTAGTACTAGTTCAAATGAAAGTTTGCCCAATGATAACAAACGAAAACAGGAGCTACACAATCTTACACAATCAATCGAAAATATTATTCAATTACACAAAGTAGGAAACCAAACTTTCGATTTAAAAATATGTCAAAATCTAACTTACTCCTCAGAGAGTCTAAATAAACTTGAACACAACCTAACACATACAAAACCTACAAATTCACGTTATACAGTAACTACCAGCAGTGCGGTGAAACTAAAAAATCATGAGCCACGAGATGGAATCGACTGCAGCAATTTCGCACCAAATTCAAAAAAGCGAACCAACGAAACCTTTGGTGTAGAACCCAACATTCTTGAATCTCAATCTAGCGAGTCATGCAATGTCGATTCGGTTTCTTATACGCCTGAAACCTTGCCTTATTTGCCAATTAACAAATCTTGTGAAGATTTACTAAATGATTCAACTCTAGAGGTCAAAAGACGAAGAACTTCAAATCCAAAGTGCCATAAACCTGGAGGTACGGTGCTCAGGCATTCTCCTCTTGATAAACCAAATTCGTTACCACAACTACGGGGATCTTATCAAAACGCAACACCATGCAATTCTCTAAAAAATTTAACACAGTCAACACCAAAACGAAACGATTCGTTAGATGATTTAAGAAAATTACGGTATAGCGGAATATACCTGAATAACAGGGATTCTATTAATAATAAAGATGACGATAACAGCAAAAGAGACTCTTTGGAGCTTGAAGAGTCTTTAGGAATATTAACCCCTGATCAAATGGTTGATTTTGATAAAGCGAGATCGCCCAGTTTAGAAAATAATCCTTTTTTATCTACAAAATGTGTTACGAAGGAAATCAATAAAGGTGCATTCGATGTCTTAAATGTGTTAAATATCGACACGTCAAGAATAAAAGAAACCAAAGAAGAAGTGCAGAGTCCTAACATTACTAGTGTGACAGAATATAGCTTAGGACTCATTGACCCGGAACAACTACAATCCGTTACAATTCTTAAAACGGACACTACCATGAATCTTGAATTACCACTAGATTCGATAGTAAATAATTCAAAAGATTTTACTTTAACGCGTTGCGAGGAGACACCGTCTCCAGAAGAGTTACCATTAGATACCACTCCTATAGTAGAGTCAGAGCCCAAAAGCGATAACGCCACTAAGTCGAAAACGAGCAATAGCTTTGTCACGAGCATCACAAGCATCACTAGTTTAGATAACGGTTATCAAGGGGATGGAGAAATGTCACGGCCTGCTAGTAGAGGACCGGATAATTCGCCCTTAACTAGAAGACCGTACCCCAGACCACAACCGCGCAGGCCCGATCCGATGACAGATTCGGATTTCTACACAGAAAGCGACGTAGACAATCACGAAGATAATCAAATCAAAGGTGATCGTAGAGCTCAAGTAATTGACGGAACCCTATATGGTGTGGACCCACAAGCAGCTGCAGATATATATGTAAACAACAGGGAGAATATGGACTCTAGCGGAATATTTACAGATATTGAATCTGGGTTAAGGAACGAAGACGAAATTGAAAACGATCACGATAATGAAAATTCTTGTACAGTGCCTCCAGATGTTTCCCCTTCGGATAGCTCTAAAACCATATCAGGAAATAGTCAGAGTAACTTACAGGAAATTCTTCAACAAAATGTTTCGTTGAATGATACTAATGAAAGTCTAAATAAAACTGTAAAGGAGAATCCAAAGAAACGTACAGCTCCTAGTCCAGGAATTTCCAGTCCGTCCAGTTTGTCCTCTCCACGACATCATTCCAAAGACGAAAATGCTGCCAAAAAGTACAAGATGCCTAAGAGGGAGGTGGCATCTAAAGTAAAAGCGATGATTGGGCCTAGTCAGTCTCCTTCTGCTGAGAAAAAAGTTGTTAAGAAACCAGTGAATCGTTGGGATGCTGTGATGAACAAGATCTCAAAAAACGAACAGAATGAGACAAACTTGAAGGATATTAAGTCAAAGGTGTTTGATAACGTACATTTGAACAATTCTCCGAGTATACCGAGAAACGAGACGAGAAAAACTAACCAGAGGCCAGTAGTTAATCAAAACAATAAAACGTAAGTTATTTTCTTACTTATATTATACTAAACTTATTTATAGATTGTCAATGTAGCTTTAATAATTGTCTTCGAATAAACTGTATAGTTAGCAAAACTGTATTCGAATAATTGCCCGAAAACAAATAGCTCAAGGAAAATTGACCGAGAGTAATAAAATTTTAAAGAAAGTTGCCTAAAAGACAATAGTTGTTAGGTCATTGGCATTGACAGACCATTGTCATTGCTATCCCTGCCCATTTCGTTAAAATTGTATTTATTATGCTCCAGTATAAACACATAGAATGGCAGTCGAATTTTTAGTCAGTAAAACGTTTATTTTTTATTTTTTTTTTAATATGTTGGTTTGGGTTTTGTCAAATCGACTGTGTCCCATAAATGCCCTATATTAAAGCAATAGTTTACCAAAAATCGACATTGGTGAATTTTTTTCTGTCAATTGTAATTTGGTGATATTTCTTTACGGGTAACTATCTTTTCGGGTAATTTTCTTATCGATCAATTGTTTTCGGGTATTCTTCTTCGGGCAATTTTCCTAGATTCCTGCAAAACAATACATAGTAAAGGCAGCTTTTCATTCATTTTCACACTTTAATTGGTACCATATAAAGTACCTAGTGTTCATAATACAGGGTGGTCCGAACTGTATCCCGGAAACTTCGGCAGCATATTCTGCAGATAAAAATAAGTAAAAAAGTAATAGTATGTCCTAAAGTGCTTAGTTTCTGAGATACAGGGTGTAGAAGTATCATTTTGATTTCGATTTTTTCCAAATAATTTCTGAAGTAACGTGAATATTTGGATGAAAATTGGTTTCTGGGAGTTTTTTGACATGATAAATTTGATTTTGATGTCAATATGGCTCCTACTTGTATAAGGCGCCACCTACATATTTTTTTAACTGGTTTGAAAGGTAATAACTTTTCGCCCGTACCTGTATAAAACACCGAGTAAAAAAATATTCATTTACGACATATTTTACGTAAAAAAGGTCTCTTGGTAAAAATCGTTACGAGTAATGGTTCTCGAGATATTTGGAATCTAAATTATCAATACCTATCATCATTTACATAAATTAACATGTTGACTAAATATATAGTTATTAGACTGAAACATAGAACAGAAACATTTTTATCATAATTTTTTTGCCGAATAATTTATGAATAATTTAAAAAACAATATTTCCCAAATTTAATTTTTCATTCAATTAACTATCTACTCAACGTGTTTATTTTTTGTCAATAATGACATGTATTGACTATTTCCATTCTAAATATCTTGAGAACGGTTGCTCGTAGCTATTTTTACCAAAAGTTATTTTTTATGTAAAAAGTCAAGGAAATGTATATTTTTTCAGTCATTTAATTTTATACAGGTACGGACGAAAACTTATTATTCTTCAAAACTGTTAAACCACATGTAGGTGGCGCCCCCTACAAATAGGAGTCATTTTAACATCAAAATCAAATTTCCCATGCCAAAAAACTCTCAGACACCAATTTTCATCCATTATTGACGTTACTTCAGAAATTATTTGGAAAAAATCGAAATAAAAATGAAACTTCTACACCCTGTATCTCCCAAACTAAGCATTTTAGGACATATACATTTATACGAACTTTTTTACTTATTTTTATTTGCAGAATATGTTGTCGAAGTTTCCGGAATACAGTTCGGACCACCCTGTATAATTAACTAGTTATATTTTGTGTATCATGCCTACACAAATTATGTCGGAATTAATTATTTTTTTTATTTAACATTAACTTCGGTAATGTTAAATATATACTTAATTATATGGACACTAATAAGTTATTTTTTTAGCCTTATACTATTATCCTCTGTACAGGGTGTCCCATTTTAGTTGAAATCATACGGTATCTCCGTTATTCGTGAAGATAGAAGGGTGCGGTTTGCACAAACCTGTGCCATTTTTTTGTCAAACGGAAGATGCCGTAAACAAAAATTTCATAGCCCTCTTCGTTTCTGAACTACAGCGTCTTTTTGAAAATTTTGCAATTTGCGACACCCCCTGTATCTCTGTTATTATTAAAGGTACTGAGACGGTAAAAATTGTTTATTGTAGAACTTTTTACGTAGAATATAGTGGCGTAGTCTGTTATTGTACGAAAAGAATATTTTTAAAGATATGAACTAAAGTTATGCTTTCTTAAATGGGACACCCTATATATTTATAAATTATATCATCTGGCTTGCCATAAGCTTCTCAAAAATATATAACACTCTATATTTATTTTAACTATTTACTGCAATATTTAAAATACATCATTTTCTTATTAGTAGGCCGTGATAAATAACAAAATCAAAATGGAATTTACTAAAATAGACATACACATATTAAAACTTTATTTGGAATTTATATATTTTACTTTTGAACTGTTACCACTGAACTCTGATTATATATTTTCTCTTTTTTTATAACGGAATTTATTATAATGGGATGGGCTTGCAAATATCTAAAAGCTTGCATTATTAAAGCATTTTCTAGGTGTTCGACATCGTATTAGTTGCCACAATATATTTCATATTTCAAAAATTCCCAAAATCAGAAATCCAGAACGGATAAATCCGGGAATCAGGGAAGCCATCATATGGGTACACTGATTCCAATTCATTGATTTGAGAAATAATAATTTACCACAATTCTAATTTCTAATACTTTCGTAGTAAGTTAAGTTGCGAGGGGGAGCCCCGTCTTGCTGAAACTATATTTCCCGTAAATTAACTAAAGGAATATTTAACAGTTCCGATATGATATCTTCCAAGATTTACAAATAACGGTAGAGATTTAAGTTTCCCTAATATATAAAGAATTAATTAGTGGCTCTCAAAATAAAACAAGAGACAGATAGCAGTATACTTTTAATAATTCTTTAGTTACTTTTATTGTGATATGTGTTATCTGTGCTTTTATTATCAATCATGGCCTACTAATAAATATGATCTTTTAATATATTTTTTTTAAATATTGCATTAAATAGTGAAAATAAATCTAGAGTGTTATATATTTTTGAGAAGCTTATTGCAAGCCAGATCATATAATTTATAAATATACAGGGTGTTCCATTTAAGAAAACATAACTTTAGTTTATATCTTTAAAAATATTCTTTTTGTAGAATAATAGACTACGCCACTATATTCTACGTAAAAAGTTCTACAATAAACAGTTTTTATCGTCTCAGTACCTTTAACAATAACAGAGATACAGGGGGTGTCCCAAATTGCAAAATTTTCAAAAAGACTCTGTAGCTCAGAAACGAAGAGGGCTATGAAAATTTTGTTTATGGCATCTTCCGTTTGACAAAAAAGTGGCACAGGTTTGTGTAAACCGCACTCTTCTATCTTCACGAATAACGGAGATACCGTATGATTTCAACTAAAATGGGACACCCTGTACAGATTTCATTGTTAGTATTGTTTTCTTAAGCCGTAATATAAGATGTAGATACCAACCACAAAATGTCTGAAAATATTGGAAACTGTTGGCATGATGTAAAACTATTCATAATTTATTTTATTAAAATACCCTAAATTAATGCAGAAAACTCAAACAATAAAATTTAAACGTTAAACATTTATAAAAGCAAGCCAAAACTAAAAAAAACGCCAATAATATAATAATTCACAGTGCTCTTGTACACAACTGTTTAAGTACAGCCTTTTACTTTATCTCATGCATTTATATTATTTTAATTTTTCTGTAAACAACTATGGATACTCGCTTCAGTTATGTTAATTACTTCTTTTTAATCACTACTGCCCACCTCTGATTACGACATGCCAACAATAATAGATGGTTTCATATTGCTTCTGTTTATAAGAGAACAGAGTTAAAACAAAGCATGCACATTTTTATATGTTAAAAATAAGTTTATAATAAACATGCTTACAATTACTGTGTTAGTACTAACAGCATACAATTTTTACAGCCGAAGAATCAGGACTAGAACTACGCATAATTCTTCGCCGTTGAAAAAAGTGATAACTGGCAACGTCGAGAGCAGTATTCATAGTTCATTAAGTGACCTAAGTGCCTCAACAACACCGCCAAAAAAATCTCCAAGTAAGTTTTTATTTACATTTTACTTCAAAATTCCAAAAACCTACGATCTGAGATTTCGTTGAAATTTAATGAGCATTTGCAAAATTTTTAGGGTATTTAGAAAACTTAATACTTATGTTTCAAATAGAAACATAATTCAATATTATAACTGTACATAACTGATAAAAAATTTAACATTACTTAACATACCTATACCTTGAAGATCATTATTTATTTAAATATTTAAAACCTTCAATTTCTTTATTACAATCTCTTCAGAGTATTCAAAGTGCAAATCCGTATCCGTTTGATATGCATACGTACTGAGACTCTTTTTGCATAACAATGCACTTACATGCGCTCTGAGACTTTTAAATGCTAAACAGCGAGGCCTGGGCAATAAAAGATTGTATCAACAATAAGTAGTTTGTTTATAAATGAAAGTGTTATATTAATTCTTTAAATCGCCATTTACCAACTGTATATTTTATTTGAAATTTTGGTTTACCAATAAACGGCACGCTGACGAAAATAATAGTGTTAACAAATAAAATACCAAATTGCTTTGAGCGTAGTTTATTAATTTTTTAATTGATTTTATATATTGTTCCATATATTTTTTTTCTTTGTATATAAGGGCAGTTTAAGACGTCATAGTCTAAGAGCTGGCTACATAAAAATCTTATCATCGTTACATGGCTAATTTTTCTTGTGAAGTATCCTTTTGTGTAGCCACTATGAAATAGTCATGTCTGCCAGCGCGATCCCGGGGCTTAAAGCGGCGGCGGCCAATCGAAAGGGTGAAATTTTTGACACTAAAAATATTATAAGGCGCACGAGTTATAATTGTGAAAATAGCTTTTATTTATTATTAAGAAACGTGGACAATTGTTGCCAGACATTTTTCTCGTCGCTAAATACTGACAGACAACGTGAAAAAGGCATGAACTGTTTTCCAGGGGCCATAATTTTTTAAAAAAATTATGGCATACATGCATGCCGATTGGTAAAATGTCATACACAAAAGGACAGACAAAAAGATAGTGGCTAAATCAGCGACAGACAGTTATCAAAAATACGATATTAGGGTACGAACATAGTGGAGGCAGGTTTCTGCTTTCCGGCAACCAGCGCCGTCTCTGGGGACCTATTCTTGACCACTCGCATCTTCAAATATCGCTCGCATCTCGCATCTCCTAAAAAGCCATATAACAATACACAGATGCGTAATTTTGCGTATATGCATCACGTGTATTGTATATGGCTATTTCGGAGATGCGAGAAGGATTCGGAAGTAGATAATTAAGAGGAAATTTACCTGATTAACTAACCTAACCTAACCAAACCATATTCAAACGCCGCGCCCGCCTCGCCGGGGCCGCACATAGATGTATTTGATTTATAAACCTGGCCAAAAGTGATATTTTTTTATTTTAATTTTTTATCTTAACTGAATACAAATCTATAAATACTAAATGTAAGCATTTAATTAAGCAAGTTTATTAGTTATTAGCTTTTTTAAGTCGTAAGTTGACTATCAAATTAATAATATATTTCAGTTAAAAGTATGAATTATCTTGAGTGTATTCTGAATATTTCTAAGATTATAAAAATAGTGGAATTGTTTGTAGTGCTTTTTTGCAAATTGTTCATAATAACTGTCATGATGGATACAGAGCCAGCTTTGTTTGTTGGCTCTGTTCTGTTTTATGCCATATTTTTATTTTGAAACGTTTCCTTCTATTCTATTTTTTTATAATGTTTTATATTTAAAAAATCAGTGGCATTTTTATAAGGTGTAAGACTATTCGGCAATATTCCGCATGGAAATTAGTATCCGTTCAATGCTTAAAGTCTCCAGCATTGGAATATGCACAAAAATCTTGCCAATATTTGCCACTGCCAAAAAAAACATTGATTTAAATAGATTCTTAAAGGAAATAGTCTTTACCCTATTAACACCCATCCTCGCTCAAATATCGTCTATAATATACAAATTACTTTCTTGTTCTAGCATCCTCATCCAATTGCTTGGTTTTGCACAGAATGGCCCTATTTGATCGGTGGAAAGGGTTTCAGAGTAGAGGAAAAAATATTGTGTAGGAAAAACAAAATGGGGTTCCATATTAGCAACCTCTCCTCTAATTAATAATTAATATTACTAGCAAAAAAGCAAAAAAATCATAAAACATAATTTTGGCCAACTTTTAGTTCTTAATACCCCCTGTGCGCCGTCGGCGCGTGCAAAAGCAGAAATAAATAAATTTTCGTTCCGGTAAAAGCGAGAACGCCGATGAACGCTGGTTGACGGTGCCTGCCTGCTTTCACTGTGAACTAGCCGATTTGATAACACGCTTTAATTTTTCAAGGTTATAAGCGCGAGGCGGCGCGGCGCGGCGCTACTATGTAACCATATACAGGGTGTCCCAGAAATAAGTGCAAGTATTTTAACTTAACTGGTAGTATAGTTCACCCCAGAAACACGCCTATGAGGTTTTTTTTTCTAAATAATTTTTTTTAAAAATTCGGAATTTTTGAAAATATTTTTGGATTTTTTGCAATTTTTTTAGTTTTTATTTAAAAAAAATAATTTCTTGATAATATGGCAACATAGGTAGTAGATTAAATTTACAAGAAAGAAAATCCAGAAAAGATCCAGTGGTTCTCAAACAAATCTCGAAGTATTGGAAAGAATGTGTAAGGACCAAGAACTATTGACTACAATAAAACGACGGAAAGCAGCATATTTTGGTCATATTTTTCGAAATAACAAATATAGTTTCCTACAGCTGATCGTTGAGGGAAAGATTGAAGGACGACGAGGCATCGGGCGTAAACGGTTTTCCTGGTTGCGGAATTTGCGCCAGTGGTTTAATATAGGAGAGGCCAGTGCAATTATCCGTTTGGCTCAAGACAGGGAGGAATTCCAATTGATGGTCGCCAACCTCCGATGAGGAGAAGGCACATGAAGAAGAAGGTTCTCAAAATTTTAGCAAAAAAATATTTTTTTGGAAATTTTCAAAGTAAAATAACTCCATTATTTTGGACTTATTTGAAAAACGATAAAGAGAAAATATGTTTCTTTTATCGAGATCTACCACCCTTTAAAATACTTGCACTTATTTCTGGGATACCCTGTTTATAACAATACACGTGATGCGTATACGCAAAGTTGCGAACGATGTCAAGAATAGGTACCCAGATTGGCGCTGGCTACCAGTAAGCGGCAAACCTGCTTGCACTGTGTTCGCACACTTACTCTAGCGCTTTCAGAACGCTCGGCGCCTCATCCAATTAACTATAGATAAATCATGTATACGATTATATTATAAATATATTTTTTTATTATTTCATACATTTACTATTCTGTCTCACCGATATGTATCTGACTCATCGTACTGCAGATCCTCGCTCTCGCAAACGAGTCTTCCTCTGAGTCGATATCTGCACCGTAAAATTTTTGTAGACTTCGCGGCGAGCGTTTCCTGAAAACGCTTATACAGAATGAGTCTTAAATAAGTGTAAATACTTTTAGGGATAATATATTTCGACCCCAGGAACACGCCTATGAGTTTTCTTCGCAAAAAAAGATTTTGAAAATCGTGCATATTTATTAAAAATTTTCCTGTATATTTTAGAAAACTTTTTAGAAATGCATGTTCACCGCACCACCGTATAATTATTTCTTAATCTACCATGTTATGGCTTTACTCTATGGTTACGGCACTAAATGAATTGATGGAAATACAGAAAAAAAACAGGTGTGTCTTACAAAATTATTTAAAAATAAATCAATTTCTTTTTAAAATTTCACACTTGAATAACTCGGTTATTTTGAACTTGGAAAACGGTAAAGAGAAAATATGTTTCTTTCATCGAGATCTACCAGCTCCGAAAATTTTTGCACTTATTCAAGACACCCTGTAGAGAGTAATATCGCACTTTTGATAACTGTCAACCGCTGATTTTTTTGTCTTCCCTTTTGCATATGGATTTTTAAATAAATAAACATGACATTCCACCAATCGGCATGTATGCGATGATTTTTTGTCAAAATTTCATGCCTCTTGAATGAGTAATAATTTAAATAAATAAATTAAAGCTATTTAATATTTTTAGTATCAAAATGTCACCCTTTCGATTGGCCGCCCCCGCTATAAGCCCCGGGATCGCGCTGGCAGACATGACTGTTTCATAATGGCTACACATAAGGATACTTCACAAGAAAAATTAGCCATGTAATGATGATAAGATTTTTTATGTAGCCAGCTCTCCGTCTATCAGTAACTCTTTGTAAAAAAATTGTTTTGTGTCTCAACATAGTGTACTTTTAACTCGATACATTTAGTTCAGCCTTTTCCAATTTTTTATTTCCATTAGGTGTTTGGTTTAGTGATAACCCCTTGCGTTTCGACACAATTTTTACGGTTTAGCCATTTTTTTAAATTTGAAAACCAGAAATAGTGACAGGGAGGTAAATCTGGAGAGCATGGTGAATAGTGTAGTAGCGTTGAATTGGCCTTCTTGCTTATTTCCTTGCTAAGGAGTGGTCAATCATAGTCAGTGGTCCATATTGGGGTACCTATTCTATTCCATATTTAGGTGCCTTTATGTTCAATTTGTTTTTGAGAAAATGTTATATTTTAAATTAATATATCGTAGTCTATTTGTTAGTTAGTCTATTTGCTAGTTGACAACGGGTGAAAGAAGAAACCACCAAACTGCAGAAGACAGAGTTGTTCCTCAAGATACTGTTCTTACTTTCACATCTACTTTCTACAACTTGTCCAACTCAGTCTATGTATAGATTGGAACATTTGCACCTACTCTATTTGTTGGTTGGTAACCGGTGAAAGAACCAACCATCAAACTGCAGAAGGCCAACGAAGGCATCCAGGACTGGACAAAATAAGTATAGAATTAGAAATAATTATTTCAAGTCTATCCACGTTTTAGGAAATCGTAAAATAGAAAAAAGTATCTTTCAATTACGTCAGTAATTCTGAACGCATAATTGGAAT